CAGCCTTCTCTTCTTCAGGCTGAACAAGCCTGAACTCAAGTCCTGGTTAGACAATGTCTTTTAGTATTAGCATTGCTTCAAACACTGCCGATGTTTTCTGTCATAAATGGAGAAGTCCTGGTGGGGTGCATGCAGAGATGCTAGAAATTGGCTGATGTTATTGCAAAGCCACTCTCTCATCTTTGAAAGGTGGTGGAGATCAAAGGTAGTGAATGACTGGAAAAGGGCAAATACTGCACCGATCTGCAGAAAGACAAAGTGGAAGATCCAGAAAATGCAGACCAGTCAGCATTAACTCAGGCCCTGGGAAAATTGTAGAACAAGTCCTGTAGAAGCTATTTCAGGTCACACAAAGGACAAGAAAGTGGTAAAGAACAGACTGCGTGGATTTACTAGGGATAAATCATGCTTGACCAACTGGACTGGCTTCCGTGATGAAACAACCTGCATAGTTAATGAGGGGAGAGCTCTGGGCATCATGTCAGCTGCCTGATTCTAGAAAGGCATTGGCACTGTGTCCCAGAACATCGTTGTTGACAGGATACGGTCCGGATCAGTGGACCACAAGATGGGTGGAAAACTGGCTAAACTGCCAGGCTGAAAGGGTTAATAGCTCAAAGCTGAACTTGGCAGCTGGTCATGAGTTGAGTTTTTCAAGGTCGGTATTGGAGCTGATACTGCTCAGTAACTGTATAAACAGTCTGGGTGACAGGATTGAATGCATCTTCACCAAGTTTGTGGGTGGTACCAAACTTGGAGGACAGCCAATAAACCACAAAGAAGAGGCACTGTTCAGAGAGACCTCTGCAACAAGAGTTGCGTGAAGCTTAACAGAAGTGAATGCAAAGTCCTGGACATGAGACACGAAATGCCAAGAGCAACGTAGGCTGAAGTCTGACCGTTTGGATTGTAGCTCTACTGAAAGAACCTGGGGTCCTGGTGTACAGCAAGGTTAACTCGAGTCAGCAGTGTATCCTTGCAGCAGTGAAGGCAAACTGTGTCCCGGGCTGCACCAGCAAGAACGCAGAGAGCAGAACAAGGGAAGTGATTATCCCACTTTACTTGGCTCTTGTTAGACCAAACCTGGAATATCGTGTCCAGTTTTGGTGCTCCGAGTTCAAGAGAGAGATTGAAAAACTGGCAACAGCCCTGTGAAGGGACATCTCCATCAAGATGATCAGAGGATTAAAGAACTCGATGTATGAGGAAAGGTTGAAGGACTTGAGTGGATCTAATCTCAATATTCTCATACCTGGAAGGGTAGTTATAGGGAAGATGGAGGTGCTGTTGACAGGTGAAGAGACAATGAGCAGAGTTGGCTTCAGGGGAAAATTGTCTGGCTGTAGGAAGCAGACGGGGAGGAATCTTCACTGTGAGACCAAGTGAACATTGGGATGTGTTGCGCAGAGAGCTGGTAGAATCTCCCTCACTGGAAATTTTCTAGGTTCTGCTTGACAGGGTTCTGGATAACTGTGGATAAAGCCCTGCTTTCAATGGAAGGGTGGAGCATGTGATCTCTAGAGGTCCCTTTCAACTTAAGCTTCTGTGCAATTAGTTTTGTTTCTGTGGAGTCCAATGTCTTGGTCAGTTCTGATAAAAAGAATGTATTTATGAAACGAATGAGTGGGTACCTAGAGCTGGAATTATGTAGCCTTGATAAGAGAAGGCTCAGGGTGGATCTTATCAATGTGTGTAGATACGTGGTGGGAGGAACTTCTTTACTGTGGGAGTGATTGAGGACAGGAACAGATTGCCCAGAGAGGTGTGGAGCCTCCATCCTGGAAGATACTCAGACTTTGACTAGACAAGGTTGTGAGCAACTTGCTTTCGTTGACCCTGTTTGGAGCAAGGAAGGTGGATCAGATGATTTCCACAGGTCCCTTCACACCACAGCGATTCTGTGAAAAGTTTTTTGGTTTTTTTTCAAATCTTAAGAAAAATACAAGATCGTAGTGCTGTCTGCATAAGCCAGCTTTTAAATTTAGATGAACTGCTATGATAAATGGATGAAAGGGAAGGTAAATATGCTACAGGGTTAAAAATTGCAGTGATTCAAGTTGTAAAGCTTCTAGTATGAAGCTTCTAGTACCTTGAGGTGGATTTATTGTTCACTAGACAGAAAACAGAGTTCAGAGATGTGAGTGGGAGAAAAAAGGAAAAAAAAGGGCAGAAAATTGTGCTTCCACCTGAACCAAATTCCTGACGCTCTAGTGTTTTGTAGCAGGGACATCTTTTAAATGCTTTCAGCGAAGTTACAGTCAAATACAACTCGGTTCTACTCTTAACTGTCTTATTAGAGTGCCTGGGCATCTGGAGTGTCATCTTCAGAACTGTGTTTATTAGGCTTGCTGAAGATTTAAATCCTGCTTGTTGAATTATTAGTGTTTTAATTGTGATTTTCCTCTCTCATAAAAGCTTAACAAAACTCCTTGTGAACCTTTTGTAGCCTGTCAGAAGTTCTTGAGGCTTCTACTGTTAGTATTTCTGGAGTTCTAGCTATGCACTTGTATCTGTATGAAGATTATTAAATGTCTGTATTTCTGCCTTTTCAGCAAGAGCACTCGTTAGAAAGAGGATTATCTTCTGCTGTAGTTGTACGTTTCAGAAATACAGAGCCATCTGTGAACTGCATCTTTTGCTTTTGGGGTTTTTTCAAGCTTTTAAAATTCCCTCTGAATTGAGTCACAGAATGTTCGGGGTTGGAAGGGACCTTGGTGGGTCACCCAGCCCAACCCCCTGCTGAAGCAGGGTCACCCAGAGCAGGCTGCACAGGACCGCGTCCAGGCGGGTCTTGAGTATCTCCAGAGAAGGAGACTCCACAGCCCCTCTGGACAACCAGAGAGAACATTCATACTAGTCTCACTGGTAGTGTACACAGGGTTTTTTCACCTTGGCACCTGCGTGCAGGAAATGTTTTGAGAGAGGCATCCAAATTACACTTAGATTTGTGATAGCTATGACTGCAGAGATCTTTATCACCAGCAATGACATTGATATTTTAGTTCTATATACAGCTTATACGTGTATAGTATGTGCTGTGTAATTACATTGAGAGTTGCCTATCGAAATACAGCATTTCAGTCGTGAGCTTCCTCGGATCCATTCACTGTGATGAGAGCAGCAAAGTCAGGCTGTCAAGGTAGGAAATGCCAGGCAAGGAGTTGCTCAAGTAAATTGACTTCTTCCCCTTGGTGGATGTATTTTGTGAATCGTTAGTTAGGCTTCCTCTGGGATTTGGTCTCGTTTTGTGGGCTGCCAGGACAGTAATCATGGAGTGAAGTAACTGCCATATTAGTTTAAAAAACCCTAAAGAAATCTCCACGGAGCAGTTCCAGGTTCTTGTCTCCGCACCGCTAGCCCACCGCTGTACCGAGTGTTCGTGTCTGCTCTTTTTGTGTGTGTTGGTCACTGCTGTTCAACGGCGAGCAACAGGGCACATCGGGCTTTCTGCCAGGCGCTCGCTGGAAGGGCTGAAGACCAAAGATTGGAATCTGGCTGCCTTAATTTTTCCATCTCTAGTCTGGAAGAAAAAAGTAATTGAAATCTGAGAGCATAACTCCAGTTTACTGATAGGGTATGGTTGTTCTGAATGAAATGTGATTCTGTGAAATACGATGACTGTTTAGGTAAGGATTATGGTCATACATCCTTGTTAGGTAACTGACTTCAATTAGCAAGAGTAAGCGTATGATCAAAAAGAGAAAAAGATCATTTTTTGCCTTGGAGCACCCCTCACCTTAAACATGTGTTTAGTTGGAAATGAGAAAAGGGACATAGAAGTGGTGTTAATGGAATGCAGACACTTACCTGATTCAGAGTTTTAACATTCCTTACAAAACACCTTTGTTTTGCTGGGCTCTTTTTAATCCCAGAACCCCAGCATGGCAGGGGTTGGCAGGGACCTCTGTGGGTCACCCAGCCCAACCCCCTGCCCAAGCAGGGTCACCCAGAGTAGGCTGCACAGGACCTTGTCCAGGCAGGGTTGGAATATCTCCAGAGAAGGAGACTCCACAACCTCCCTGGGCAGCCTGTTCCAGGGCTCTGTCACCCTCAGAGGGAAGAAGTTCTTCCTCCTGTTCAGCTGGAGCTTCCTCTGCTTCAGTTTGTGCCCGTTGCCCCTTGTCCTGTCACATTATCTAGGTGGTGGAATGGAGTTCTCCATTAGTTAAAGGTTTTGGAAGCTTAAAAAACAAAAACGACAACCCAAAGGTACCCTTGGTTTTTTGGTTGAATGCATTAAAATTTAACTTCAGATATTTTGATGTCAGCCTGCAAAGTTGTTCTGTTGATTTTATTACAGGAGATAGCTGAATAAAGGCGAAGATTGTCAAATATGCCAAGTACATGCCTCCAGTGTCTGATCTCCGCTCTGTGGCACAAACAAATTTTTTGCTGCTTTTTAGACTAATTTCTGAGGAGAATCAGGCTTGTATAATCGTGCTATGTTCCTTTCTTTGGTAAAGCTGCTGGGGAGAGTAGAAAGCTGCCTGTTGTGCTCCATGTGGTTAAAAATGGCTGTTGCATGTGGAAGATGTGAAGAAGCTGTTTCCTACCGATAGGTGCCCAGCTGCAGAGAACAGCCCGATGAATGCTCTTGCTTAGGGAGGAGAGACATATGTGATGAACTTTTGACAGACACCGGGAAAATCAATTTTCTGTTCAGTTTTCTCCTCTGTGAATTCTCTGATAGGTACCGATAGGAAAGAGCGGGGCAGTCAGCTGAAGTGCAGACACAGTTCCAGGGCTCAGGAACAACTGCGGTTTCTTAACATAGCTTAGCAACAACCAGGGGAGGGTAGGGGCTGGATTTTGACCTCCTTGTCCTCCTTACCAGAAGAAAGGACACAGAAGTTGACCAAGTTCTCATCAGTTTTGGATGCCCCCTCCCTGGCAGGGTTCAAGGCCAGGTTGGATGGAGCTCTGAGCACCCTGGGCTGGTGGTAGATCTCCCTGCTCATGGCAGGGGGGTTGGAACCAGATGAGCTTTAAGGTCCCTTCCAACCCAAACCATTCTGTGATTCGATGATTAAAGGTCCTGAAGTACATTTGTTGTAACCGAGCTGATGCTTCAGGCGAAGCTTCGTTCGCTTGCTTTCATGTGTCCATGAATAATTTGTGATTTGAATGCTGTCGGGGCAGGTGGCAAGCTGATCCCATCAGTCTGCTGTACCGTGCAGAGTTCGTTAATAACGCAGACTCCACACTTCAACTCTGTGTTTCGATCCGTTGTGTTGTGGGCAAATATAGCTTGAATGAGTCTAGAGGAAAGGTAAAAAAAAAAGGATCATTTGCGGAAAGATGTTCTTTTGGCATTTGGAACCGGAGTATTTGGAGAGATCGGTCGTTTTACAGTGGAATTAATACCGCCCGTGTTGATTTGCTGTTTCAATTTTGGTCTTCTTTCTTCAGATCTCAGGATACTCATGGACCAGAACTGATACTACCTGCCAGTATTGAATTCAGGGAAAGCTGTGAGTAAACTGTGAAGTTATAAACACTAACGTGTTGACACTTTTTTCTGTAGTGGAATATTTCAGTCAGTCTGAAAACTTACAGGTAGTTGAAGTGAACATTGAAAAGAATAATGACTGAACAAATGATAGCTAATCCAGTAATTTAACTGATTTTGCTTTCGGAGGATGAAGAGGTACTTCAGATATTGAGGGGGGTTAATGCATATCTAATTCTAATTAGATTTCTACTCTTTATCTTCAGATACTCAAATTTAACTGTGAAAAAATTGTTAACCCCACCTTCTCAAGAGTACATTGAATTCATTCTCTTTACAGTTCGCCATTCCTTGCATAATAGATTGCATCTTGGTCAAAATCTATTATATAAAATCTGATGAAGTTTAAATTTTCATTTGAAACTTAATTTTTTGTTATCTTGGTCCCCATGTTTTTAAGGTCTCAGATCTGGTAGAAAAATTTCATACCAGAGGTTTGTCCAGACTTGAAATATTGGAAACTAAATAGATTTGTGAGTAAGCAACGACAGATTTTTATTAGTATAAAATCCTTTCTAACAAGGGATCTTTATAGGGATAGAATGGACAACAGAAACCTTGCGTTTTCCTGGTCCCTTGAAAGTGTAGATTTTCAGCAAAGAGATGAGAAACAGTACAGAAATGTTTCCTGATGGTCAGATTTTCTAGCTCGATAAAGAAGTGTGTTGTTACTGTGCTGAAGTAACTGTAGTGCATAATAGACACTTAATTTAGAGTTCAGATTCCTGTGTGTTGATCCCTTCTCCTCCTCCAAAAAGAAATCCTCTACGCCCCGAGTTACTAAATTGTTTTATTTCATTTTCTTTCTGCCTTTGGCGTTATGACATGTTGTTTTCCTCTTTCTCTACAGCTGAAGACGCCTTCTTGTCTGCCATTATAAATTACACAAACAGCTCGACAGTGCATTTTAAGCTGTCGCCCACGTACGTGCTGTATATGACGTGTCGGTATGTATTGTCAAGCCAGTACAGACCTGACATCACTCCTGCCGAGCGCACTCACAAAGTCATTGCAATAGTCAACAAGATGGTGAACATGATGGAAGGAGTTATACAGGTGAGCTGCTCTGCAAAAACACGTCAGGGGAATTAAAGACGTGCTGCAGGTTGTCTAGTAACCATCTTTTTTGGAGTGTTTAGCCAACTGTGGTTAAGGGTCAGACTCATACCTGCACTGACTGCCTGTATGGAGGTTTGCTTTTCTGTCAGTGGATGATGTGAGTGGTAAGCAGCTCTCTCCAGAGCCCCGCGGGAGGTTGGGGAGGGGCTGTGGCTCCGTGGATGTGTTCTCTGACGAGCTGCTACTCTTCCCTTCTCTGGAAGGTAAGGTCTTTGCAAGGCTCTCGGGCTGTGAGCTCTTGCGAAACGAGTTGGATGTGCTTATTGAAGAATATTGTGTAGATAGCAGTTGTTGGCACTGATTGATGCTTCAAGTGTACGTATTAAAAAGAAACATGACTTAAATTTTGATCCTGTTACAACTTCAGTAACTGCAAAAATGGTGATAAAACTGGACTTTTTGAACCAAGCTGACACAGTTGCTTTAGAAAGAGAAGTGCAAGTGCTCAAGCGTTCCGTGATTTTAGTCTGATGCTGTTGCTGTTAATGTACAAGACTTCCACAGCAGCGCAGGGGGAGTTCTGTGCTGTGCAGGAGGGCAGGGTAAGATCCACCGAGTTGGCTGTGGAACTGGACAGTGCCCTGCGTTGGGTAACTATCGATAAAATGGAACTCTGGGGACAGAGTGCTAGTGCAGGTAGCCTTACTAACTAACTATTACAACCTCTTTGTCTGCAGGTTTTTCTCAGAGGAAAAAGTGCAATGCATTTTTGCATTTATTAAAAGACATATGTTTTAATAAACATATGCATATAAACATATGCACGGTACAAGCATGCAAACGCATCAGTCCTGCTTTAGGGAATTTACCATGCAAGTGTTACACAGCGGGTTGATTAAAGGAAAGGAGGAAAGGAAACAACAAGAGAGTGGCCTGGAGGTCGCGGGAAACCAACGCTGTTCAGCTTTTGTTCAGGTTTTGGGAAGATTTAGGGGAGTTTTCGGTAGGGAGGATGCTGTAATTAGTTCTGTAAACAGTTACAACAGGCTCCCACCTTTCACATGGAAGAATGGGAGAAAGGGCTGGTGTTGAAGGCACTTCACAGCAAGGAAACAAAGACCAGCCTTTCACACACGGTCTGAAGCTGCTGAGGGGTTGGAAGGTGGTTTGAATGTGAAGAACTAGTAGATTGCTTTGCGCTTGATGCTGTGGTAAATGGATATTTGATAAAATTGGAACGATATAAAAAGTTTTAATATTCAGAAAAAAATGATGAGGCTGTGGAAGAGTGATTTTGTTCAGGCCAGAGAGGAGACTGCGGCAGTGGTGGAGAACATGACATGCAGAGAGCCGGAACATATACACAGTTTGGTTGGGAGAGCAGAAGGCAAGCAGTGAAAGGGCAGGCTGCAGATGTAATCTGGAAGTTACAGGGCTGAGTCAAAGAAAAGTGACTGAGTTTTATATAGGTAAACTAGTAACAATGACCCCAGAAAGATTTGGGGTGAAAGGAATGGGTACAGGGAAAAGCAAGGATAAAGCTCTGCGTTTTCTTTGTGTTGAGCTGAAGTGGGTAACCAGATAGCTGCTGGCAGACACGAGAGAGGCAGGCTCCAGCATGAATTTTCAGAGGAGAAAGCGAATCAAAGCTAGAAAATAGATTATCTGTGACAATATTAGTTTACAGCACTGGGAAGGGCTTCCCAAATCCAATTCAGCCTTGTGGGTGTTGCAAGGAATTGTGTTTCACAGAATCTCGCTCATGGTGTCATGAACTGCCAGCTCCCAGTGTCTGGACTGTCCCTTCCGAAAGGCCTGGCCTCTCCAGAGCTGCAGTCTGGTCTCCAGCCTGGAGTTCGGGCAAGATGTCCACAAGGAAGCGGGAGCTACGTCGGTGGCTTAGGAAAGATGTTATCTAGCTGCAAAAAATGAACCGAAGAGGGTTGGAGATTGAAGCGAACTGGGGGGAGCTGCTTCTAAATGCCATGTTGGAGGAAAGGGGGGAGGTTACAGATGTGACAAAAGAGTAAAACTTGAGTGAACTGGAAGGCTAATGGGCTGCCAACAAAGAAATGCACTGGTTCTGAAGGTTGACGAGGAAAACGTCATCACCTTGGACCTGTTAGTGGAGTAGGAACAGCCCTAGCTAAGCTAAGTCAAATTACTTCATCTAGGCTGTAGAATGAGTTTTCGTGCTGATGGTTGCCACAGTTTAATTACCATGTAAGAACCTGCTGTATCGCAGTAGCTTTTTTGTGTCTCTTGACTGTAAAGCACGTCTGCACTGAAAGGGATCTGCGGGTGTGAAAGACCGAGGAGACAGATGGGAGGCAGAGGGAAGGTGCTCAATCTCTTGGGCTGCACGGGGAGTAAAAGAAGTTGTTCAGATCCTGATTTTTGCCTGTCTAGATCATAAGGAGACTTGATGGCCTTCTGAAGTTACCCAGGGAGTATCTGCTAACAAATGATGTCTGTAACTTTCTGTAGTCTTTGCATTAGTGTATGTAAATTGTACAGAAGACTGCATATGGGATAGGAATAAAATTGGAGAGAGCTATGAGAAGGCTCAGTACTTCCAATAAAAATCTAGGACTAGAAACTTAATTCATATTAAAAAGCCAATTGTTTGTATCCTGATTTTTTTCACATCACTGGCATTTCTGATCCTCTGCAAATCTTAACAAGTGTTTGTAGAAGGAGCATCTCCTTTCATTCTCTGCCAGCTCATCTTCAGTCAGCTCAGAGTGCCTTGCTTGGAAAGGGTGAAGAAACAAGAAAGCAGTGACAACTAGTGGTTTTGAGCTCTGACTAGAATTACAAAAATAATAGCAAATAACACCTCAGATTTTGCATCTAAGCTCACTGCATTGCGGGTCGGGAAGAGTGATCTAAATAGCAAGCCAAAAGAATAAAAAGCTCAGTTTTAAATGATCAGACAAACGTATCTGGTGGGTTTTTTGTGTTTTCTTAACTCAGTGTAGCTTTTATGTACCAGCATTTAAGAAGCTTAGCGTGGTATTTCATTTGACTCTTTCGTTGTTTAAAACTGTCTTTTTTTGTTCTTTAATTGAAAAGCCATGTATTAAATCTGTCCTAGGTGTTCTATGTTTTTTATTTGGTTTTGTTTGTATTTTTTTTTCTGGGGGGGATTTTCCCTCCCCCTTTGTGTGTGTTTGTACATTGTCCCCATCGCAGCAGAGTGGGCAAATGGCTCCCGGGCTCCGGTGCTTGGAAGGGCAGTTACCCCGTTGCCTGCAAAAAGTCCTGCGGGGTTTCTGCGGTGCCCTGAGGGTGGAGTACCCAGCTAGTCTGGGATGTCTGCTAGTGCAGGGCATTCCTTGGGTTGGTTGTGACCTGTGGGCACTGCAGTTCTTAGCTGTTGTGCCACTAGTCCTGTTAAAATAATTCCTTTTTTAAAAGGGGCTCCGTTGCATCAGTAGCTACTGATGAACGCGTCTGTGTATAGCTGTGATCATAAGTGTTGTGCCTTCATATTTAGTGTTTGATTTCTAAAGCGATCATGATTGTTCACAAGTTTCTTTCTTCTATTCTGTTTGATTTCCTTCGTCCGTTTTTCTCCAGGAGGTAGACCAGGTTGATCAGGTAGGATATACTGCTGGGAACTGATCCTAGCTCCGTTGGCTTAGCTCAGTTTCTCATGCTGCTTCCATATCAAAATACAATACTCAAACAGCTGGACTTGAACGGTTCATAACACTCATTCAGCAACTGGAACATGCAGTACTAAAATCCTTTTTTGACTTTGCAACTTTTACGGCATTCCATAATTTCTGCTTAACGCACTTCAATGTGAATATGAAATGACCAAAGTTCTTTTTCTTCCCTTTATTTTCTTTTTTTTTGTTGTTTGTGGTTCCTATTCTTTGGATTTCATCTGAGGTTGCCTGGCCTGGCATTTGTGGTCGGGAGACGGTGAGATAGATCAGTACTTGATACTGAATCACCTGGTGTCAAAACCAGTGAGCGCAGTATCAGGGTGGCAGTGGGCAGTAGTGGACACGCGCTTGCGAGTGCACAGATTACCAGATACTGCATTCCACTGAGCTCGTGGCGCGGTCCAGCTGGGGCTTGATTGATCTGGCTATTGGCAATTTATCGGAATTTTGTCCGTTCACTGAACATGTTCAAATTGAACTTAGCAGTTGCAGCAATTGCAATATTACATACAAACGTTTTGCAAATATCTGGTATCTGAGATACGTTTGGTGGAATGGGGAAAGGTACTGGTCTATCTTGTGGAGCCTTTTGAAGCTGCCGTGCTTTACCAGCAGACGATTTCCCTGTAGTATTTCTCGCTTCTTTCTGCTTACAGAAACAGAAGAATATTGCTGGGGCGCTTGCCTTTTGGATGGCAAATGCATCTGAATTACTGAATTTCATAAAGCAGGATCGAGATCTGAGCCGAATTACCGTGGATGCGCAAGATGTTTTGGCACACTTGGTTCAGATGGCGTTCAAGTAAGGCGATCAAACTGGTGTTTCACTGAACGTGGTCTGTGTTTCTGTGGTTTTTAGAATAACTTCTGCCAAATTTTAGGTATAGCCATCCTGTCTTTCGTGTGTCATTAAATATCTGAGAGGAGGACATCTGAGAGAGGCTAGACTTACTACTTGAGACAGATATTTTGTTTTATGAATATGGGTCACTGGGCCATGCAAGAGTTTCATCTGTTAACTGTTCTTGCCATAGTTGAGGCTGCCAATGAAAATTTCAGGGAGATGTTGTTTAAATTTAGTTTTCGGTGATTGCTTTCTCTTAATTTAAGGTTTTTTATGGAGATGTGAGGAAAGCTTATTTTTGGTGTTAATATAGAAATATATAGGCTTAAAACGTTATAGGTCTCTAAAGTAATGAACCTTGCACTCTTGAAGGGCTTCTAATTATATTCATAAACTGCCCCGTTCATAATTCACATAAACAGCAAAGTGCACAGTGGTTTCTTGCACAGTTTTTTCTTAAAAATGTAGAGACACGTTTTGACTTGGGGTAAAATCACCCTATGCTAGTCGGCTCAGGCAATTACAATAGTGATCAAGAGAAAAATCAAATGAAGTGTCTGATGGGAAGGGAAGTCCTCTGAGGAAAGGATCCTTGAACAAAGATAGCGACACTGAGTGAGCACAGAGCTAAGCCACAAGAAAGGCTTCATTTTTGCACATATTTACATTATCCCCTCCCAAGCCAGTATTGAACAAGTGTTTCTCAGCAAATTTGTATCTCTGAAACTAACATTTAGAGAAGTCCCAGTGTACCGTGGGTGGCTTATACCCAGCCTTCCCCCACTTGTAGGACATCTCTTTTAAATATAATCCTACTCTGTGTAGTAGCACAGAGTAGAACCTTCCTGCTTTTTATGCTCTGACAGGATTTTGAGACCTAGCCATGGTTGAACTGTTCAGCTTTCAGAGGGGCTGTAGTGCTCTGAAGAGCAGTATGTAGCGGGTTAATGCGGTATGTGAAACCTTCTCGTTGCTTTCTGAGCTGCTGAAAGGTGCCAGAGAAGCACCAAACCGCTTTGTAGGTACACCCACGGATATTTATTTTTTCCTATTGGCGAATTATGAGCACGTAGGGTATAGCAAGTAGCTATTTTGACAAAGTCTTGCAATTTTTGTAGCACTTCTAAATTCCGAACTGCTAATGAAGCTATGCCTTTTTGCCACAGGTCGGTGTTTTGGGTTGGTGTCGTGAAACAGCTCTTTGCTAGATGGTTTGCTAGAATGTGGCTAGGAAGGAGTGGCACAGTATTTTTCCCTGTACACGATGAGCAGACTGGTGCAAAAGGGTATTTCTGAATTTTAGCTGTGTGTGAATTCTCCCCGAAGTACACTGTGGCATGGAAGATTTCAAATGGATGTATTAAGCTTTTGGAGAACAGAACTGTGGAATATATATTTAGAAGGCAAATAAAAAAGCACAACAGAAGCAAGAAAAGAAAGAAATCTGCTGTGAAAATGTCATTTGGTAACAGCTGGCATATACCAGAATTGGTTGAAATTGCCATGGCTCTTGTTTTCTAGCAATCGAGAGTATTTTGTTAAAAATGTTCCCAGTGAAACAGAAAGGGGAGCTGTAGAAAGCCATGGAAAATTTTCCATTATGTATGTGATAACAGTTTGATTCCCTTTTAGTTCCAGTTCTTAACAGAACGTGTATAAATGACTTCTTACAAACAGTGTTAAAGAAACTGTTTGATTCTTAGAAGAGAAAGAACACTACACCAGACTTTGTGTTTCTCGGTAGTGAAAAGCTAAAGGTAAAGAGAAAGAGAAAACTCAGAACACCACGGCCATTTCAGGAGCTTGTGCATTGGCTCAGAATAGGAAAGTAATTTTTTTTTAATACTACTCTTGGTTGATTTGGAAACAGAGAAGAATGTATTTCTGTTTGGAAAAAACAGTTTTTACAGTCTTACAGAACCAAAGTTTGGCCTGACAGCATCTCCTGATGTAGCATATGACCTTTGGCTGCAAGTGTGGTAGCAATACTGCATTTAAGTGGCTGTGTTTGTTCCCTGAAAACCTATATTGAACATTTCCGGGAAAGGTGTGGGAGAACTGGTCTCTCGCCTTTTAAAAAATATTATTTGGTTCCCTGTAGTCATGTGTGTAACACTGCAATTTCAGGAATCTTGTAATTTGATAGATCTCTTTTCTTTAGAAGCATTCATAATGAACACGTTCAGGAGTTTAAAATTTCTCTTTTTTCCCTCATCTCTTCCAGGTACCTGGTTCATTGTCTGCAGTCAGAGCTTAATAACTACATGCCAGCGTTCCTTGATGATCCAGAGGAAAATAATCCTCAGAGGCCCAAAATAGGTTAGACTGCTTGATCTTTTCTTGTGTCTTCTAAACCATACAAAGAATTTGTAATACACAGAATTTTTCTTAAAAGCGATATGACATTTACAAGTTGCCTTAACCCCTGAGAATCTGTCTTCTAAACTATGCAACGAATTGGTAGTACATAGAATTTTTCTTAAATGTGATATGACATTTAATATTTTAATACTCATTTTTTTTCAGTCACAATCCTGTGTTTCAGTGTTAAAGAAATTAATTTCGTGGTCTTTTCAGTAGACATTTCAGATAAATGTCTCACCTTAAAAGAAGGCTTGGAGATAACCGTTCTACTTGCATTAACATATTCCCCCAGGAGCCACGTAAGGAGATTTGCTCTTGGTGAAGCTGACAGGAAAACCCTACTGCTTCTCACTTAATATTGCAATGAACTAATGGGCAGAAGGAAATTCGAGTACTGCTTTTAAAAACTGATGTGTAAACAGGAGAGGTGTTTTGCCGCTGGAGTACATCATGCAATGCAAATAGTTTTTGCTGGAATTTTTGAATGCAGTTTGACATTTAACTGCGAGGAGCTGTGGAATAATTGCAATGTGCAAAATGCAGATGTCCAATATGCAAAATAAAGTTTTTAACTTGTTATTAAAAATAACAGAAGAAGGAGTTTACTCCAGTGAGTACATGATTGAAGTGCCAGGTGTGACCAGTGTATACGAAATATTTCTCCAGAAGAATTTATTTTCATTTCAGGAGTTAAAAAACATATTTCAGCTGTTGGTTTAATGTTGCTCCGTCTTGAAAACCATGAAGCAGTAAACGTACTTCTGAAAATCTGTGTAACCTGAATACGTATAGGTTCTGCCTAGCATTCACCAGCCTGGGTTAGGTGTCTCTGTATTATTATTTATGGCCTAAGGCGGTTGTACGTTGCAGGCTGTGAACGTGCTGCACTGTTTGTTTTCTCTCCGTAGATGACGTGCTGCACACGTTGACCGGAGCCATGTCCCTCTTGAGACGATGCAGAGTGAACGCTGCTCTGACCATACAGCTCTTCTCCCAGCTGTTTCATTTTATCAACATGTGGCTTTTTAACAGACTAGTTACGGCCCCGGATTCGGGGTTGTGTTCACACTACTGGGGAGCTATTGTTCGTCAGCAGCTGGGCCATATTGAAGCCTGGGCAGAAAAACAGGGTTTAGAATTGGCTGCCGATTGCCACCTGAGCAGAATAGTGCAGGTGAGTGCCTCCATTTCTGCTGAACACCTCTCACGTGACTGTATATTGGAAGAGAATATTCATATATTCCTTGTTCCTAGAGGGCAGCACGTGGACAAGTGTAGTTTGTGTGAATCAATCCTGGAACGTGGAGGTAGCATGCAAAGACACAAAATGCTTTTTCACCATCGTTAATACTCAAGTTACAACTGAAATTAATAATTAGTGATTTTAGCCAACGTGCTGTTCAGTTTCTGTTCCTAAGACCGAACTCTAACTGTTGAATAGAGACAAGAAGAGTAGCTGAAAAATTGATGCGCCTCATTTATGGTAGGTTTAGTATTAATTAACCTTGTAGGTACAGGAGATATATTTGGTGGTTGTTTTGGGGATATTTATGTTGCTTCTGTAACAAGTCTGACTTCTTGCTTTGCCTTTTCCTATCTCTTGTCTATAGAAAACCCAGAAACAAGGCTTAAGGTTTCATTCTGGCTTGGATTTGTCTCCTGTGACTTTTTTTTTTTTCTCTCCTAGGCAACCACATTGCTCACCATGGACAAATACTCGCATGCAGATGTTCCAAATATTAACAGTACTTGCTTTAAGCTGAATTCTCTGCAGCTGCAAGCTTTGTTGCAGAATTATCACTGTGCTCCAGATGAACCACTCATCCCAACAGTAAGTCTCTTCTGTCACTTACTGTGCTGCTTAACCTACCTGAGGCATATAGACTTAAAGGAGAAACAGAGCCTGAAATAGCTATCTTGTATAGTATATATAATAAGTGTATGTAATATAAGTGTGTAGCATACAAGTCTTTGGAGGAGTGGCTGAGGGAGCTGGGACTGTTCAGTCTGGAGAAGAGGAGGCTGAGGGGGAGACCTTATCACTCTCTACAGCTCCCTGAAAGGAGGTTGTGGTGAGGTGGGGGTTGGTCTCTTCTCCCAAGTAACCAGCAATAGGAGAAGAGGCAATGGCCTCAAGCTGTGTCAGGGGAGGTTTAGGCTGGATATTGGGAAAAATGTCTTTCCTGAAAGAGTGGTCAGGCATTGGACCAGGCTGCCCAGGGCAGTGGTGGAGTCCCCATCCCTGGAGGGGTTCAAAAAATGTGTGGATGTGGCACTTGTGGACAGGGTTTAGCAGGCGTGGTGGTGTTGGGGTGACGGTTGGACTTGATGATCTTAGAGGTCTGTACCAGCCTTCAGCGATTCTATGATGTTATTGTTGATTGGTTTGGAATTGTTACGAGAAGAATCAGAGCGGGCAATCTGCTCTGCACGCAAGGAGAAGTGTCCGTGGTGTCAGCCTGCTTCTGGCCACCAGCTCTGGTGGGTGCACTTCACTGCAGCTCGAGCAGGATATTGCCCAAAGTCTCTCTCCCTCCGAGCTGGAATGCGAGGTATCACCGCGTGCTGGGCGCCGTACGCCGTTTGTGCGTGAGATGCAGTCAGGCAGCAGAGGAGAGCTGCGCAGAGCACTCCCAAAGGCTGGCTCCGAGTATGTCCGTGAGGAACGAAGATCGAAGCTTTGACTGTCGCCATCAAATGGAAGAAGCAGGAATGCTAAGCTTTTTACATGTGGGACGTAAAAGTCCGTAAATCTTGAATCCCTTCGTCTAAGCAGCGGGCAGATTGTCCTTTCATAGGCAGATTGATACACGGAACGTGTATGTAGAGCTACATATGTACGTGGTGTTTTCAGAACTGTTTCTTATTTTAGCATTTAATACATAGCTGACTATTCTGAGTTTCATCCATGGGAAACGCTGTTTTGGCAAAAATCAAAAAGACATTTTGTGTTCCTCACAGAATTGTAATCATATGTGGATGAAAACCCTTAAGGTAAACGCTCATTCCAGGATAGTTGACTTATATCAAAAATCCTAAAAGGTGAAGATAATCTGATATTTATAGAACTGAGTGCGTTGCCTACAAAGTCTATTTTTAATAACATTGGATACATCTATATATTAAATCAAAGGTACTAATACAACGGTTCTGAAAGGGACTTGTAGCTTGGGTATATTTTTCTATATTGGCTACCAAACCAAGAAGTCTTTTGCTGAAGACCAGAGTTCATATTTCCTGTTTCCACATAGGCAGCATTCCACAGTTCATCATTATCGTTCTTTAGGGACCCCCAAAGAAAGGCAGTGCTAGATTTGAGAGGTCGTCTCTGTGTCGGAGGAAGGGCTGCGGTACGGCTCGTTTCTCCCGTTGCGGTGAGGTGGTGTTTGGGACTTTGTTGCTCCTTGCAATGAAGAAGGCTTCTATGCTCAAACTGGGACTTACTGCTGCCAAACCTGAAAAATGGCAAGGCCTGGACTTGGTTCAAAGGAATATAAATGTATTTACTTCTTCATACTTTAGTTTGAAATAATTCTTGCACCTTTTATGGTAAGAAGGCCCTTCTCACAGAGCACTTCTGAAGACAGGCTGGATTTATCTGCCTTCTCCCTGGAAACTTGCTGAAATGGAACACTCGGACGAGAACGCTTACGGGGTGTTGGCTCAACTGTTTTGTGTGCCAGTAATAAAACCGTCGCATCAGGCTGATGGATTCTGAGTTGCACGTGAGCGTAACTGGGGTGAGATGAAGACCAAACTGTTAAGCTGGTCTGGAGAGGCAAGTGGAAGCTGTAGAAAGAAACTGGAAATCACATCTGCATCTTTGGTAATGCAAATGCTTGGAGCAAAGGAATCTGTATGTGATACTTGTAGCAGCTTCAGATGGATTAACTGCAGTAATTCTGTCTTACTGCCAGCAAAATCATACATCTCTGGGGTGAGTTCTCTTCCAGAAAAGCGCTGATTAACGAGAGGTAAAGATGCTTTCAAGTATCGGTGCTGCCTGCTCGTTGGAACGTAGCGATGGGTCAAATCCGAGGCGATTCCGTGGTTCCTGTGGCAGAGCGTGCAACTGGGAAGAGGCCGAGTGCTCGGGGAATTACTGCTTACATCTTTTGAAAAAGTTGCCTGTAACTTTTGTTTCTACATCACTTCACAACTGAATACTTTGATGCTAAAACTCAGGCCAGCCTAAGGCGTAGAAGGTGACAGAAAAGCGGAGGAACTGCTGGAGGGGAGAGAGAGGAGCCTTTGAACTGTGCACTCTTCGGAGTAATTTGGGATAAAGAGAAGAGCGTAGAAACACCGAGTGCTGCTTGGACCTTGACTTTTTGCGGAGTTGCTAAGAATTTGATTTTTGTGAACTTCTGAGTTCATTTCCTTCAGCTAGTACAATCCAGTAAGGGAGATCCAATAGAAATGGCACGGATCTCCCTGAAATGTCGAAGCCAGACTGCTGTGGGCTGCGTGCAGCCGGGGTGGCTGTGTTGGGAACGGTGCGCTGGTTTCGTAGAGATTTTTGTGACGTGGAGCAGGACAGTTGTGCACCAGATGTCAAACTTACACGTTCCCTGCCGCACCTCGAGTGAGCCTGCTCTTGTCTTGGGTGCTTCTACGGTGTTATTTAAAAATTTGTTATCTACTCTTAAGGATCCTTCACATTATGCAGAGCTCCCAGGAAATATAGAGTTAAATTAGTTCTGTGTAGCTTCCAAACCTAGGGAACTGTGTATGCCATTGGTCCTCTGTGTGCAGGTGTGTCCTGATGGAGCTGAAAATCCTGTTTTACACAAGTTGTTTGGTTTTTTTCTGTGTATCCAGTCTTACACAAGTATAGATACACTCAACAGTGTGAAAATTTTAAAGCTGCCTGTGAGTCCACCTCTGCACATGCATGTTCTCTGCTCTATATTTTAAAATCCAGCTCTCATATCAAGTAAAAACACGCACGACAAGTCTTGAAAATACCGACGTGAAAATAAATGCTGCTGTTATGTTATCTAACTGCATAATCTGTGAGATGTAATCAAAGCAATGCAGCATACTGACAGTCCATAGTGGAGCAGAAGTTTTATATCTGATAATTTATTTTCTAAATTCCTTTTGCTTGCAGTCTGAGTATTTTCTTAATGTTAGTTTTTTTCCCTTGATGAAAATTATGCCCTTATAGCAACAATGTTTTTCTGCCTTCTGTCCAGGAATTGATAGAGAATGTAGTCACTGTTGCAGAAAATACGGCTGATGAACTTGCTCGCAGCGATGGCCGAGAAGTCCAGCTGGAAGAGGATCCCGACTTACAGCTACCTTTTCTTTTACCAGAAGATGGCTATTCCTGCGATGTTGTCAGAAATGTGCCAAGTGGTTTACAAGAGTTTTTAGATCCACTCTGTCAGAGAGGTTGGTTCCTCTGCTGTATTACCGTGATCTCCTTTTTTTGGTGTAGTGAATGCAGAATGCAAAATACATTTTAGTTAAATGTAAACCACTTTCTTTTTCGTTATGTATGTTTCAGTCTTTTTATACTGTGTTCTTTGTTTGCTTTTGCAACCCCTAAAAAGCATGCAGGGATTTTTAATCCTTACCCTTTCTCCCTGTCCCTTTCATTCACTTTCGAGGTCCGAAATAAGCAGTGCTGAGTTAACTAGTGCCTACTGAAACTTCATTTTGCCCTTGCTCCAGAGGCTTTTTGGCTTTTGGTGCTAGAACAGCAAAAATTTACATAAATGTGAATTTTGTAATGCTTCTGCAATTTCACAGTCAACTTACTTTTCAAACTAATGTGAATTAAATAGTTAAGTCACTCTTTTTACTCATCAGCTGCTTCCATATAACATTAAAAACCCACAAGCTTAAAATAGTTCTTTTAATGTTGATCAGCGTCGGAAGGTTTGGTTTGGGCACCGGTAGTGCAGCAGAATTTCAGAGGACGAGTAGAGAGCTCTTGTGGTGGGGTGAAAGGGACCTAAACTTCAGGTAAAGCAGGGGCTTTGCTGGAGCGTTTACAGCGAATCAACAAGTTGTTATCCTTATTTGGGGCTACGCAATTTTATTAGAAGCTTTATTTGTTACATAATTTCTATGATTTTCTGCTTAAAGTTGAAAAACTTCCACAGGAGTATCATGGTAGGTAGGGCAGCAAAGGAGGCTGTCGACGAAGCAGACTTACTGTGTCCTACAGTGAAGTTTTGCAATTGTTGGTTCCAGCGCAGCTGATAGAAAAGCCATATTCTTGCATTAAAAAAAAAAAAATAGTAGGACACTGACTGCTTCGAAAGTACAGTGAGTTCAGAGGAATGTAGTCTTGAGACGAAAAAAGACTAGTAGAATAAATTCTTTAATTAGTAAGTATAATTCATTTGCCATATAAATGTCTGTACAGTTATTGCAAGTAAGGCCTTTTTAGTGCATGCATTCGAAATTTTACTTTTCGGGTATCCCTGAAATTATGCTGAGGGATTGGTTTGCAGTAAATTAGTGTAAACTGAATTACTGAAAGATGGTCTTTGCAAGGAGGAGAATCTCATCTGTTTTGGATGGAGTAATTTGTAATTTGACTGTGATGTGAATTCTCGCTGTCCCTGATTCAGGAGACAGTGCTGGATACCTCTCGGCTGCTGTGGCTGTTGTCTAAAAATTCTAGGAATTGCTCAATTAACCAAAAACCAAACAAACTCCCACTTTATTTTCATAGTTGCATACAGAAAAGGTGATGAATCTAGGCAGGGCTTCACCTCTGCCAAACCCGTGCTGAGCCTGGTTAGCCAGACCCTCTGCAAAGCCAGAAGACTTCTGTGGTGCTGTCTTTTTCGGGGTTCTGGTGGTTTGTATTCGAAAAGATTTTATTTTGCAGCCCAAGAGTTTACTATGAGCTTGTAGTGTTTTTAAATACACACGTTTCTCAGAAGCAGCAGCTAGAGAACTGTAGGGTTTTGTAGATACTGTAAAATTGCAGTGAAGCACGTATAGGCATCTCAGATGCAAGATTCAACATACTGATGAATTCAAAAAGGTAAATACGGCTATTTGGTATGTCCTTGTGGCAGGCTACTTGATTTTATTCAATCTGTTGCGAAAATAACCACAACTATGTTAATGTTACTTTCTCTTTTAGGTTTTTGCAGACTAACACCTCACCCACGGTCACCAGGCACGTGGACAATATACTTTGAAGGTGCAGACTACGAAAGTCACCTGTCCCATGAGAACGCTGAGCTAGTAAGTATTGATTCAGTGAATGATTGTCGGAATTGATACCTTGGAAAGCTGTTGTATGTGGTGAGTTTTAATCTTTATTAGGGAGAACAGGCTGCATCATTAAATATGTAGTTCATCAGCAATTTGGTGAATTTAAGGAACTCCGCAGATTTTTCTAAGAATGTTTTTCTAGGCTGTGGCATGATAAAATTCTCACATGAGCAGACTTTGTCGTATTCCCCCACCCTTGGGGTAAACAGTGAAGAAATTCCTTTTAAACACAGGCAAAAATATATGTGGACATGCCTCCGTGAATAACTTGTAATGGAAATGGAGCTGCAGACTGCTTTGATGTATAAGCAGTCAGCTACGTGCTGTTTAGTATTAAGCTATAACATTACACTTTTTATTCTGCTAGATTTTCAGGAAAAATTCTTTAGTTCGTTTCCATTATACTTATTAAAGAAGGGTTTCCCTTCAGCGTGAGGTGGCTTTTTTCTCTCGTAGGTTTTTTTGTTTCATTTTGTGTTGTTTTTTTGTGGTGGGTTTTTTGTTTGGGTGGTGTTTTTTGTTTTGGGTTTTGTTTTTTTTTTGAATAGGTGAGAACCACCAATATCAAAGTTCCAGACAGCTTTGTTTTGGGAAGACGGTGTCTTTATGTGAAGTAATTTTTAAAGCAACTGAACAAAAGTAGCTTCATGTTTATAATTAGTATTTCAAAGAAATGGGGAAGGCCAACATGAAGCTAGAATTGTGTTCCTAAGGCCTTCTGTAAAAAGTACTTGCCCCTCATTATTCAGAGGGACTTCAAAGCTTCATTTACTCCGTTCCGAGCCCAGCATTTGTTAGATGGCTTTCTGCAGACTTGCTGCAGTGGCCTGGAGAACGTGCTTACTTTACAGAGGAGAGCATCTCCTAAACGTGTGACTGAGAGCGCAGAGCCCAGCCGTGAGCTGATGAGCCGGGCTTTGCAGGCTTGGCACCTCGGTGAACAGGCGTTGGACTGAGGAGAGTACAGCAGACACATACTTGGGACATCATGCTCTTCCTCCTCGCTTTATTGCTGTGAAAAAATGCATTTTTCCACCTGAAAGGAGGGTGTAGTGAGGCGGGGGTTGGTCTTCTCTCCCAGGTAACCAGCGATAGGACAAGAGGCAATGGCCTCAAGTTGCGTCAGGGGAGGTTTAGGTTCGATATTAGGAAAAATTTCTGTACTGAAAGAGCGGTCAGGCATTGGACCAGGCTGCCCAGGGCAGTGGTGGAGTCCCCATCCCTGGAGGGCTTCAGAAAATGTGTGGATGTGGCACTTCAGGACATGGTTTAGCAGGCATGGGGGTGTTGGGGTGACGGTTGAACTTGAAGATCTTAGAGGTCTTCCAACCTATGATTCTATGATTTTTTTTAGAGCCAGTGGTAACAAAACTAGTCTGAAGTTATACTAGGTGATTGCTATTCTTCAAACTAAGAAAAAGCTAAAGCAGAGTTGTGGCCACTCTTCCTTAAAAAGGCTTGCTAAAGAAATGCAGGGTGAGTGGATGCTGCTGTTTCATTCATCCGTGGGAAGGAATACCCTGTATGACTGTTGGGATAACCTCAGCTAATCGGGCTCCTCTCTGGTGCCTGAGTGGTAGCTGAATGCGCTCAGCTGGAGAGCTCTCAGAGTCTTCAGTTTTGGTGTCTGAGCAGTGCTCTGAATGCCAGCTCACAAGTCACCTCTTGGTGCAGTGTGTCTTCTACCTGATCTAACTGCTAGGGAAATGGTCCAGGTTATAGCTGTGAGGTCTTTTTTTTTTTTTTTTTTTTTTTTTCTTTCCCCCTGCCCAAGCCAAAACTCTTCTCCCGTTTCTGTTGCTGTTGGTAGTCTGGGGAGTTGCCCAGGCTAGGCAATCCTCAAATTTTCACTGAAGAATTTCTTTATTCTTAGACCAAGAGAGAAATTCGTTCTAGACTAATGGCAAAGTCATGTTCCCAGTGGCTTACCTTTTCCAGGGTGCATGGTTTTTGTTGAGTTAGTTTAATAATGTTTCTATTCAAATTAATGGAAAAAATCCTAAATAAAGTATGAACAGATTCTGTTCTTCTGCCATCCTTGGCACAGAGCTGCTACAATACCCCTAGCTTGAAAATGACTTGTTTTTCTGATACTTGAACTTAATCAAAAAGTATTAATATTCTTTGAAGTAATTTCCTTTGCTTATATTTTTACTTTGTCATGGGTCTTGTGGAACTTGCGGTTAGGTTTTCGTACAAGAACGAGCTAGGGTGCTTTAGCTTACCTCCTTCAGCTGATGAAGACTGTGATGGCAGCTTTTTGTGTAGAGGGAACTGGCAATGTTGTGAAGATGTAAAAAAAATAAAATTACTGAACATGCTTAGAGGTCAGGCTGTATTGGAGTTAGAGTTTTCAGAAGTGAAAATTTTTGGAACTTTCGTTCAAGGTTTTAACGCTGCCTTGGAAATTAATGGGCCTCTTAATATCTTTGCAGCGTTATTGTCTTTGAGATGCAGCACTAAAAACGGAGCTCCAGGTAAATCACCCTCACAGGCGATCTCATAGGGGCCTACTGGGTCTGAACTTCAGTTCTCATTAAAACAGTTGGGTAGACCTGTTGGATTTCCGTTTGTGAATCGTTGATAATCCCTTCACAGAATTCAAGAAGGATTAAAAACCGGTTGACTTCGAAGCTTCAGCAGTGTTCGTAGCACAGGTGTAGTACTTGATAACGTGAATCCATATTTGTCAAATGTTAGAGATTCTCTCTTTAAAGTGGAGTACCAGACATGCTATGTAGAGTGCAAGGTTTTCTGCTGCACTGACAACGTAGCTTAGATTGTAGATGAACTATTGTGCGCAGTCATTTTCCTAGCCTGGCCGTGAATATGAACTCTCGTCTCTCCTCTTCTTTCCCCTTCCCCGTTTGATAGGCTCAGCCTTTGAGGAAAGAACCTGAAATTATCACGGTAACACTGAAAAAACAAAACGGAATGGGCCTGAGCATTGTTGCTGCCAAGGTATGGAAGTCAGTTTGTGTAAGTGTTACTGAAAAAACCTTTTTGTTTGTTTGTTTTATTTTTAATCAGCCTACTGTGGAAAATGTTAATGGAAAAATATCTTTCCTTTAAGTTTGTTCTGTACATCATCTTGATCATACTTTTATTCTGGCTGTAAAATACACAGATGTGAACAAAGCAAGAGGAAACATAATATGGATGTAGTTATTATGACATTTAGGTTTAAACCTCTACTACCGATTTGTTCATTTTTTCAGAGCCAAAAATTGGCAGTTTAATTAAATGGAGTTACTAAGCAAGCTTATTTAGCACTTCTGATGAAAAGTAGCAAAAGTACCTAGGAAAGAAAAGCAGTAAATAGAAAGAACAAAATCTGTGGGTGTTTATTTTTAATTCGATGAAGAAAAGTATTCCAATATATACATAGAAGTTTGCGTACTTTCTGCTATGAAGACACCACCCTATCTTTTGCACAGTGTACAGATGCATCTATGACTTCAGTTTTCCTTCTTGATAGTAGGGAGCTACAGCATGTTGAGTAGCTTGATGGAGGAGGGTGCGCCGCTTGCCCTGACTTGCCAAGACTCCGGGTGCGTGCTGCTCTTAGCAGCACCAGGTAGTAATGTATAGAATGCACGTACAGCTCCAGCCACCAGATGGAGGACTCCACTAGTTGGTTGGTTGTGCTTTATTAATTGGGTCACGTAGCAGCCGTGATCTTTGGGTTTTAAGCTTGTTATGAACTATGCAATGTTGATATCCAAAAGTCCTTGCTGTAGCTGTGTGATGTGCGGTAGGTAGAACCAGACTTTCCTAATGTCTCTTCACATGCAGCACATGGACCTGGAGAATGCCGTGGTCCTCCTTGGCGCTGAGCGCATGGGCTGACAACATCGTTGTTTTACTGCTTTTAAGTCAGCTCACATAGTTAATTGCTTCTAAACAGCACTATTTTTTTTTCCTACAACTTTGCTCATTACCATTGCAAGATCAAGCTATGAAATCTTGCATGGTTTCAGCTTTTAAAGATTGATTTCTGACAGCTGTAAAGGAATACCGGGTGCCAGGGCTATGTTGCTAACCATCAGCAGTTACTGAGGAAGTTATTCAGGATCTGAAAAATGTAACTCAATATTCTGATCTTATTTGGTGGAGTAGGTTATTAATTTGGGAGGCACAGACTAGATCTTGAGATACATCAGGATAAATACGTATCAGACTTCTAACTGCTATCTGCATTTCTGTGGAATGCTTCGAAATGTGCAGTGGAAAGTTTTTTTTTCGCTTTAAACTGTGAAATTCGATTTCTCATGTAGAGAGAAGCAGGATGTAGCAGGGCGAAAAAGTTTCCCTTTTCACTGGAGCTGGCTGGCTTCTATAGATTGTTTTAACAGCTGGCACTCTTCACTTCCACTAGCAGTATGTAAGAGTGCTACTGGGCAGTGTGTAAACTTGATTGGAAAGTTTTTCACAAGTTATTTACCCGGCGATCAGTGATGGAAGCAGCAGGCTTCACCTCGGCACAGCTGCAGAAACACTCCCTGGCCCTGGCAGAGATTGCCTTTCATCTTGCTGCCGGGCCAGATGTGCTGCTGGAATACTGATTTTGAAAAGGTTTTGTCTTAAATCTCCATCTGAAATGAGCAAGAGGCACATTTTTATTTTTGTTTCAGTGTACGTAGAATAGAAACTTTGCTTAATTTGAAGTCAGCAGAACGTTCATTGGGTAGAAGTAAGCATCTTGCATGCAGTATTGAAACAAGTTGCTGTAATAGTTAAACAGGAGTATTTTCAAGGGGTTATTTCAAGGGGTTCCAAGTTGCTTAGTGTAAGTAATTAATAGCAAGTTATTCCCATAATAGGCTTCATAAAAACAACAGAGTAAGGAAGAATACACAGGCATTAATTTTCTCAGTCTGGCCAGGGCAGAACAGATTAGAGTTGAGTGACTGTGACGGAGAAGCTGGCAATAGTGGGTGGATTTTTTTCTTTCTATTGCGATCTTGTTGCCTTTACTAATAATTTTTCCGACATGTCTCAAGTCATGTATCTTTTACCAGTGTAAAAATTCAAATTCTGGTGTTTTCCTTCGGCTCAGGAAAACGGAGGAGGAAGTCCAGTTGACTATTTGTTAGAATTTTCTACACATTAACTGGATAGCACACCTGAATCGCGAGGGAGAGGCGAGTGTGAGAACAGATTTCGGTTTTTCCGACTTTTTTAATAATAAAAGGTCGGCTATCACACCCTCGTATGAAAGCACCTGGTAGTTGAAGAACAAAAAGCTCCTACTCAGGTTCAGAAATGCACGCTTGCTGCTGCCCGGCGCAGGATCCCAGTCTGATTGCTGACCCAGTTATGTTAATTGGACTATGAAGTTCTAGAGCGCTTCCAAAGTGCTGTAAGAAAAGAAAACTCTGGTCAGCAGGTAGCTCTGCTCCGACCAGTGAAGGACAACCCTGGGACTAACTGGCTTGGGTTGGGCAAGCAGCTGGGTGTTCTCCTGTGGCGTGACAGAAGAGTCGCTCTCAGCAGCGTGCCGTGAGAACGCCTTTGCACATCGGCACTGACCTTGGGAGGTCTCGATGGGCTCCTCCCGCCTGGCTCTGGGTGAGGCTGCTCAAAACGTAGCCTGGCGATGCTCTGGAGATGGATGAAATGAGCAGGCTCTTAGAGGTTGTAAAGAAAAATGATTCTTACTGACTGCTTGTCGCCTTCTACCCACTGCAGAGAACCTGCCCTTCCCTTGTGTTCTGTGCTCGGCTCGGAGGAAACACCCGACAGATTTATCAGGTGGTGGTAGTTTGAGGTTTTATCAGTGTACGGGGTTCTGTAGATAAATAAAGTCTGTGCCAATTAAGAGTTTTTAATGGGGAAATTAGATGCCGTAGCTTACATACGCCTTCCGCACCCGATACCAAGTGATTGTCACGGTTTCTCTGCCGCAGTCGGAGTAGATGATGGGAGTTGAAGCTGAGGGATGCAACTTGCAATGCAATGCTGTGCACCTGCTTGCTCTTTCGATAGAGGGTTTTTGTTTGTGATACTGGGTGATTGCAAATGCATTGGCATTAATGGAGAAAGAGAGCAAGACCGAAAGAGGTGAGACAAGGAGCGTCTGGAAGTGTTAGGTCCCTGGGGAGCCCTATTTGATCAGGTTTCGACCCAACGACAGGTAAAATGTTGACGTGCATTACTTCTAATTAAATAAAATGTGAGTATCACAGAATCACAGAATGGTCAGGGTTGGAAGTGACCTCTGTGGGTCACCCAGCCCAACCCCCTGCCGAAGCAGGGTCACCCAGAGCAGGCTGCACAGCACTGCGTCCAGGAGGGTCTGGAATATCTCCAGAGAAGGAGACCCCACAGCCTCCCTGGGCAGCCTGGTCCAGGGCTCCGTCACCCTCAGAGGGAAGAAGTTCTTCCTCGTGTTCAGCTGGAACTTCCTCTGCTTCAGTTTGTGCCCGTTGCCCCTTGTCCTGTCAC